TGGTGCAAGCCACGTGGTGCGAGCTCAGCGCACGGGGCGCCCACGAGGCGGCACGGGGCGGCAGCGTGGCGCAGCCTCGGCAGACCCACCCAGCGCACGGGGCGCCCACGAGCGCCCACGCGTCGGCGAGGGGCGGCAACGTCGAACAGATCCCGTGGATCCGCCCAATCAGTTGACGGAGCAGAGTACGTGAGAGCCCCCAGATGCAACCAGTGCTTCGCGAAGGTTTCAGACATCGACGCCACACACATTAAAAGCACCCCCCAAGCAGTGACAGTATGAGCATACATCAATCATGAACAATAACGAGGTATTGCAAGAGGAGAAATAGGGAACACAAGTAGGAACACACGTATTGATAGATTCTTTGATAAGGGCCGTTGGAAGCAATTGTTGTTTAGTATGTTGATGATGTTGTTTGTCAGGTGTGTGCCTGAATCCTTGTCGCAGAGAGCGTGTCCGCGCAAGGTTTTAGAGTCTTGCTGGTTGCTCTTGAAGGTTGTCCCACGACGACGACGACGGCGACGACGAGGTGGCAGGGACGCCGCCGCGCGGCGCGCGTCGGAAGCTTTCGCGCAGGCAGTCGTTGAGGTTGGGGCCCGGCTCCCGCATGTTACCCAACAGACAGTCCCGGTCTGGAACAGCCCAGGGACGCTGGACTGTCCCGAGCGGACTTATCCTGCCCATCCCTCGTGCGTTTTGAAATCAGGCTAGTCGAACTTGCTGAGCTCGGGCCCCTGAGAGGCCTGTCTCGTGCCCGAGGGTGAGGAAGAAGATAGCTTGCAGCGTAAAGCGCGTGCCAGAGTCGGAGTAGAGAGCTTCAGAAACTGACTGTTTTTGAGAAACCAGCACATTGGATGGGGGTGTCACCCTGATCCTATTCTCCCCCTTCTTCCTCGGTCTCCTCATCCTCCACTGTCGCAGCCTAGTTTGCCAGTCTGTGCTGAGAGTGCCCATCGCTACATGGCCCGTCCAAGGGGGCTGGCTTATGAGGATCGCACAACGAGCTTGTGCTGGCCAGTATTCTGGTAGTGCCCTCGTGTCGCCACCCTGTGGCCAGAAACAGTACATCATGATCACGACAAGAGAGAAACACATTGAGACATGAACAATATGTTCCTGGTTGTGGTGTGGTTGGTCAGTAGTCATGTCTGGACACACGTCACACTTGCACTGGGGCCGCCTTGTCCACCAGCCGCGCCAAGCCGGGTCCAGTCGCGAGCATCGCACCAGACAGCTTCATGAGACCCGAGCTTTGGCAGAAGAGGTGAGCTCCGCTGGGGGTTCTTGCCCGAGCACTTACGGTGAGGAACGTTTACTCAGCGTGTCGCTCCGCTGGTTCTGGGCCACTGCGCTTCTGCGCGACATGCTAACCATGTCCCGATCCCCAGGCGTTAACGTCCTGAGCCTTCCCCAGGCGTCAACGTCCGAAGCCTTCTCCGCGGAGCGGAGCGACACACTATCAGCCCGCCAGAACAGAGCTTGTCGCCGGGGCTGCCGCCACGACACGCTAAGCAACAATTCCCGACCGTATATGCTCCTTTTCAAACGCTCTGGCCTCCAGCCCAGGGCCAATAACCCGTTGGACCAAGGTCGAGCGCGCGTCTTCGAGGAACCAGCTGCCACCTCGAACAGCATGAGTTGAAGCATCTGGCCCGCCAGCCAGTTCCCATCACCAAACAACAAGTATATGAAAAACCTCGCTGGACCCACTCAGCGCACTAGGCGGCAATAAGGCGGCAACGGGCGGCAGCGAAGCGAAATCTCGACAGACTCACCGGGCGCACGAGGCAGCAACGAGGCGGCAGCAGGCGGCACCGGGGCGGAACCTGGCTGGACCTATGAAATTCCTGAGCAACCGAGGTAAGAGCCCCTAAGTGCGAGCACTGTTTGGCGAATGATTCTCTGAGTATGATCGCAAGAGGCGCGTCATGGCCTGAGTTGATGTTGAAAGCGCTGGGGGGGGCGGCTTGTTGTTGTCCGTTTCCACTGTTTCGTTTCTCGGCCAACCAGAACGGAACGACAACGGCAGCCCCAGATCGAGAAAAAGCAGCGGCCGCACAGGAGACGCGGCACCGGGAGGCCGTCCGCGGGAGGTTGCAGGCGGTGATGCGGTCGCCCAGCCTCGTGCCGGTGGAGCAGGCGCTGGCAGAGGGCCGCACGCTCGGCGTCCGCCGATCCCGGGGGGGGGTGCGCGGACGGCAGGCAGCGCGTCTCTCGCCAGGCAGCGGCGCCGTGCAAGACGCCCCTGGCCGGTGGGAGCCCAGAGCCCAGGGCGAGTCTGGGCGGCCGGTCCGCGGAAGGGGGCGAGCGCGAGTGTTTGTGCGGTCGGTTGGCGCCGCCCGCCACCTCGATGCAGCAGCGACGCCGGCTGCGTCGTTGAAGATCAGTTCTCCATGGGTTCTCGGGCCAATAGACAGCAGCCCACACGGCGCGAAACCGAGGGGTAGGGGCGACAGCCTCTCGGGACCTCCGAGAGCCGATGTCGTGCAGTACGGAAGAGTCCACGCAGTGTCAGAAACCAAGGCCCCCTTCGCCAGAGCAGCAACCTGCAGTATAGTCGCCCACTCCGTCAATTTCTTCTGTCTCCAGGGTCGGGCTCGAGTTTGTTGGCGACGCTCGGCTGTCAAGGTCTCACTTGCCGCAAACCTGTATTTGGCCAAATGCGCGGGATGCGAAATCCTGAAATTGGTGATACTTATCCGTAAGGGCTTCGCCCCCTGCCGCGGCCCTCTCTCTCGGATAATGGGTTATGCAAGAGCTAATTCATGAGGCCTCGGCGCCGCCGTGAAGCAGCATCGGCAAGAGAAATTAAAATTATGATGATATTGTTCATGGCTTTGGGGACGCGAATAGAGCATACTTTCGACGTAAGTTACAATGGTTTATGGCTTCGGGGACGCGAATATAGTGTTTTGCACGAGGGTTCATGGTTTCGGATACGCGAATCGCGCGTAATGTGCGAAGGTTTATGGCCTCGGGGTCGCAAGTTTAGTGTAATGTACGCAGGCCCATGGCTTCGGAGACGCGAATATAATGTAATTTGCAAGGGTTATGGCTTCGGATACTCGAATCGCGCAACATTTACAAGGATTTATGCCTTCGGGGTAGCAGATATGCGTGTGTTTATGGCTTCGGAGTCGCGAATACTGTATCCTTTACGAGGGCGTATGGCCTCGGGGACGCGAATAACACGTAATTTGCGCAAGTTTATGGCTTCGGAGACGCGAATACAATGTAATGTGCGATGTTTATGGCTTCGGGTACGCGAATAGCATGTCATTTGCGAGGGTTTATGGCTTCGGGGACGCGAGTATTAAGTAATGTTCAATGGTTTATTGCATCGGGAACGCAACTATTGTGTAACTTAAGCGGGTTTATGGCTTCTATAGTATGATTTTGGGACGCGACTATTGCATGATTTACGAGCGTTTGTGACCTCGGGGACGCAAGCATTGTTTATTTTACAACGGGTTTATGGTTTCGGGGACACGAATCTGGCGTATTATGCGAGGGTCCATGGCTTCGGGGACGCGAGCATTCCGTAAATCGCGAAGGTTTACGGCCTCGGGGACGCGAATTTTGTATAATTTTAAAAAGGGGGTTATGATTTCGAGGGCGCGAGTTTCATGTATTTTTACATGTCCCACGCCCCCCTCAGGAATTCAGAGCACGCGATTCGGGCGTGGTAATCAGGACGCTTTTCGGCTCCCCCCCCCATCGCGCGGTCTACAACAAGGAACGGTAAGCAGCATAAAGCAATGCTGTAACATTGGAAACTGGAAACTGGAACTGGTGCAGGGAGCAGCAAACTTTTGCACTACAGCCTGGTAGCCCCACAAGTAGGCCGGCGGATTTTGGCGACGGCGCTTTTGGTGAACAAGTGCCCTCGTGGCGCTGCCAATAGTTGGTAGGGACCCGCCAGCGAACACATATTTATCGCATTGTTTGATTCGACGGTTGCGTCATAAACAACTAACCCAAACAAGACAGTAAGCAAAATGTAAGGTAGTAGGAGGATGATATCTTATGCGAAGACGTTCCCGAATCAGGGTTGACCAGGGGGGTTGGCGGGGAGGGTTGGCCGGGTTATTGGGGGTTGGCCTGGTGGGTTGGCTTGGCTTCCAGTGTGCGGGCTCGCTCCCAGCGCACGCAATGCAGTGCGTACGCTTTTCTGTTGATGAGCCTCCCGCTACAGGGCCTGTGCTTCTCCCCTCTGGTGTCATTCCAATGCCCCTCCTGTGAGCTTCGTGAACGTGCCAGCTCGTTTCCACTTCACTTCGCGCTGCCAGCGCTGCTGCCAGGACGCGCACGCCAAGCGTGCCCTCTCGCAGGAACCGCGCATTGAATTACCAGCGTTGCCGGCAGGAAGTTCACTCCGAGCCCGCTGGCATGCCTGTGGTGCATTTTGCATGGCCATCATTTCTGCAGGATGTTGCCGATCAGCTCACTGCAGGCGCGCCCGCTCGCACTTGATGATCATCACGCTGCCAGCGCTGATGCCGGGAAGGGCGCTCCACTCGTGTCGGGCGTGCGTTTCCGAGCGTGGCAGCCTGCTCGCTTGTGGCGCACATGGCCCGACCAGACTTCCTGCCAAGGAGTTCACTCCGTGCGTGCCCGTTCGCGCGCGGTGGTCATCGCGCTGCCAGCGTTGATACCAGGAAGCCCAGTCCGAGCGTGCCCGCTCGCTGCCAGCACGCCTTGGGTTGCTCAAACGGGTTGACTGGGGTTGGCCTGGGGCTTGGTGACGGTCATACTGAGATAAACAAAATTCTGTTTACAAGATCTAGTAGTAGAAAGTTCTCTTTCTCTCTCTCTCTCTCTCTCTCTCCCTCTGTGTACATTTCGTGTTCGGTGGGGCCTCCGGTCGGCAGGGGATGCCGGTTCGGCCTGGTGCTCAGGCCGCGAGGCGGGTTTGCCGAAGGAGGAGCTGGGCCGCGAATGGGGCGGGGCACCGACGGAGGGAGGGAGGGGCTATTCTGCTTAAATGGGTAGGGCCAGGCGTTGTGCTAGCGCTCATCCTGCCCTCCCTCCCCTGATCCTGGTGTCGCATGGTTTCGAGTCGGATGTTTTCGCACGGTTTCGAGCCCCAGGGCCCGCACATATCGATCCAGTACGACAAACAGTAGCAGAAAGATGGGGTCTAGGGTCTAGGTTTCCAGACGTGATGTTTCACGATGTTGCATTTTTGTTCGCGTCGTCGGATCTCAGGGTCATCCGCCCTTGTCCTTGTCCTCATCCTCGTCGTTGTCCTCCCTCTCCGCCTCCGCCTCCATTCTATGCTCTCCTCGTCAGCATGCTCCTCCGCCCCATCTTGCGCGTCCTCCCTCATCCCTCTTCCCCTCCCCCCCTCGCCTGCGCACCCGCGCGCGCGCGTGGGGACAGGCAGTGCAGATTGGAGGGAGGGAGAGGGGGGGGGGGCGGAGGAGGAGAAGGGGAGAGAGGGGAGGGGAAGAGGGCGGATGAGAGAGGGATGGGGGAGGAGGGGGGAGGGAGGGAGGGAGAGAGGAAAGGAGGAGGGTCAAGAAGGAGAGACGAGGGTGGAGGAGGAGAAGGAGGAGGAGGACGTGGAGGTGGAGGATGAGTTGTTGTAGTTACTCTTCATCCTCTTCCCCCTTCCCATCACCCATTTCGGCTCTCTCTCCACGCAGTCCATCCCCCGGACCACTACATCCTCAGCTCCCTGAGAGCTGAGGGAACGACCTGAGGCGCCGAGCAGAAGACGCCGAGGATCGCAGGGGGCGCAAGCCACCAGGCGGAGGTGGAGGTCGACGGCGACAAGGATGGCACGGGCGCGATCCAGGAGGCCATGGGCGCAGGCAAGAAGAGGCCGGCGGCGGGCACAGGAACGGACATAGGCAAGAGCACCCGTCGTGGGTGACCCAAGCACCACAGAGGGCAGCTCGGCCAGACGATGAAGACTCGCGGGACGACCGTGTCAAGCAGTGCCTCGAGACGGTCCTGAAGTTGTCCTTGCGTGTGGCCCCAGCGAGTACGACGAGTGCAGCGCGCGACGGTCGACACCTTCACGATGCCATGACGCAGAGGACGCACTGGTGCCACTCGGCAGCCCCGAGGTAGGCCTGGCGACGCAGCCCCCGGAGAGCCTGTGCAGTTGCGACGCCGGCGTAGCCTGCGACCGTTGCGTGTGGCACAGGTCGGAAGGACACTGTATCACATATGCGACGGCTTCCAGGTGAACGCCAACATCACGGTGTGAGGGCCCCGGCCCCCCCGCGCTGACTTTCAAGGGTCCCGCTCTGATCTGGGCGCTTCGCTTCGCTTCGCTGCCCTCCCCGTTCCCTCCCCTCCGAGTGCCGATGCCAGCCTCGCCCGCGAAAGCGTTATATCGCGGCCGTCGCCCCGTCTCGACCGCGCGAGCACTGGCTCTGTTGGGCGTGCGGTGGCATTCGCCAGCGACGGGCGCACTAACATTCGGCGGCGAGCCCGCAGGCGAAGTGAGAGGGGGGGCGGGCCTTGTCAGAAGGCTCGGAAGTCCCCCGAACTTCTGATGAATTTTTCGAGCCGCCCCCGAAGCTACAGAAAGCTTCCCAGACGGCGCGAGGGCTTCTGAGAAGTTTGGCCACCTTCTGAGAATACCTTCTTCTTCTCATTCCCCCCCCCCCTCGCTCGCCGCCGAAACATGGAACCCAGCCATTTTTCACCACTCAAACGTTTACGATCAGGAACTTGGGTGGCTCAGCGTGTTGCTCCGCCGGTTCTGGCCCACCTTGCTGCTTCGGTGCGACGCACTATCCATTTCCTCACCCCCAAGCGTGAACGTCCCGGGCTTTTCCGCGCCGTCCGCCCCGCGTAGCGGAGCAACATGCTATCCGCTCGCAAGGCATAGCGTGTCGCCGGGGCCCCCGCTGCGACACGCTAAGCAAGTGTTCCTGACCGCAGTTTGATTGTGGTGAATGAGTTTCTCCCCTCTGCCCCTCTCCTCCCCCACTCCGTCCCGTGCCAAAGAGCTGGTATTCATCTTGGCGCGCCACTTATACGAAGCTTACAGGTGGTGCCTTCTGAGGCTCCGTGAAATTTTCCGAGATTGCATGTGCATAGTGCTTCTGCCGATGCGGCCGTCAGGGCGCGGCTTTTGACTTGACTTGGCAAGTCTCCGCATAGGCAGAGTGGACCGGTTGCTGATGCGTGTGATGTCGACCCCACAGTTTTAAGACGTTGGGCCGACAAGCCGTTGTGGGCGGCGAGTGGGAGCTCTAGTGCCTCAAAGTCACTCGTGGCCTTGAATAGTTTGAGCCCTGGCGCCCTCTGGAAGCGAAGTCGGCTTGCGGTTGCAATGTTCTTCCCGGTCGTGACGAGCGGGCCCGGCGGACACGGTTGGCATGCCTCTGCGGAATCTGTCGTTTGTTCTTCCTGTCCCTCTTCCGCCCCTGAGGTCCGACGCCACGAACAAGATTAAACACCGTGACGAGTCAGACCAGAGCCCTGTCCCCTTGCGGCACTTCTCGAGCCAGATCGGCCCGCGAGGGCCCCGGGGCCCGAGCGAAAGTGGCCGTTGCGAAAAGTTGCGTCGCAGGGATGTCAGGGCCTCCCGGCGACGACAACCACTACGAGTCGAAGAAGGAAGACTGTACACGGTGGGGGCGTTCGTTAAGAAGTAGGTCAAGGAGGTTTCAGACCCTGGAGGGCTCCTTCTCTGATGAGGGCGGGGTGACATCCATGGCCAAGCCTCAATTGGTGCTCCGCCAGGTCTTCAGACCCTGGACTCCCTACCCAATGGCTATCCAGTGCCATTACGGTGCAGAAGCCCAATTCTTCCGAGCTCAGCGCGCGAATCTCTTGGACTGGCGCTTGAGCTGGCGCGGAGCGCGGAGGGCGCCACTGGGGGGGGGCCAGCTCCGACCCAAGCAATCCGCGCCGGTCTTGGGAAGGTCTGTGTCAGTCACGCGCAGAGAGCGGTTACGGGGGAGGGGGGGAAGGCTTCTTAGCAGCACCCCTGCTTCTTACATGGCGCGGGCCTCATCTATGGATGTAAGGCTGGCGCTTTGTAAGAAGCAGGGGTGCTCCCCCCTACCCCCTTGCGCGCGCCCGCCAACTCTGGCTTAGGATGCAGTTCCTCGGAGGTTGAATTCGGCATCGGCGCTGTGGTCGAAGGCCGGCCCAATCCAGCTCGGTCCCGCTCCTTTCCGTTTTGTCCAGCTCAGTCCCGCTCCCTCCGGCTCAATATTGGGCTGGGTTTGGGCGGCTCCGGCCCTCCAATCGGGCAGAATATTCTCTTTGTTCTTGCGAAGACCTCCCATGAGTTGCCTCTTAACTTCAACGGATGCCCCCTGCCGCCCGCGACGTGGGCGGAGGGACACCCACACATACACACCCTCACACACATACACCCTCACACACACGCGCACGCGCGCACACACACGCACACACACACACGCACACACACGCACGCACGCACGCACGCACGCACGCACGCACGCACGCACGCACGCACGCACGCGCGCGCGCACGCACGCACACACACACACACACACACACGCACACACGCACGCACGCACGCACGCACGCACGCACGCACGCACGCACGCACGCACGCACGCACGCACGCACGCACGCAACACACACACACACACACACACACACACAAACACACACACACACACACACGCGCACACACACAGACACACACGCACACACACACACACGCACACACACAGACAGACACACACACACACACACACGCACACACACACACACACGCAAACGCACACATGCACACACGCACACACACACACACACACACACGCACGCACGCACGCACGCACGCACGCACGCACGCACACACCATACTTTCGAAGGTCCGTGTCTTCCTCTGACCCACGATCGGCGAACATATCTGCACCCGAGGCCTCGCGGCCTGCATTCAGGGGCACGATCCCGCGGATACGCGGTCGCACGGACATCCCGCGCGGGGCATCCGCGAGAAAATGCCCCGTACCCGCGTGGTCGCGGCCCCGGGACCCGGCCCGCGAGGTCGCGCATACGGATGTGTGCATATCTGTTTCGTTCTGCCCACGACGGACGGGGCGTCGCGCCCTTTCGGCGAGGACCTGGGCCCCCTCGAGACGTGGCTGGCCGAGAGGAGCGCCGAGGCGGCCTCCGCGGCGAGCGCGTCCGCGGCGCGCGCCGACCTGGACGCCCGCGGGGTCGCCGCGCCCTCTGCCTCCTTCCCCTCCTCCTCCGCCTCCTCCTCCTCCTCCTCCTCATTCCTGATTCCTGATTCCTGTTGGCTGGAAAGAACGTCGTTCGTGGCCCTCCCCCCCCCCCGGTATGGTCGGCCAAGGGGGGTTGATGAAACCAGGGCCAGTTGGCCTTTGGAGCATGAAGCCAGTCTTCTGGCACTTGTGCCCCTGAGGGTGGCTCGCCAGGTGTGCAAAGCAGGTACGTGGCAGGCAGAAGGGAATGCGGCAGGAGGGGCGGGGCAAACGAAGAAGGGCAAAGATAACAGGTGACTTAGATGTTCGAGGTTGTCAAACGTTTTCGTCGGTCCTCGGCGGATTGCCAGCCTCGGGATGACTCGCAGAGAGCGTTGTCGGAGTGCCCGAATCGTCCCGGACAGCGGCGGGAGAGCCGAGTGATGACTAAAAGCCATGGGCAACGATGGAAGTATGGGATCAGCTCAGAGGTTCGAGGTACGAGGAGCGAGGTTCGCTTTCTGGAGAATTGTAGTCAGAATGCACCCCAGGGAAGATCCAGGGATGGATTTTTGACCCTGATCAGGGGTAACGTTGCGGGGGGACTGGCTCAGGGTGCCAGGAACGTGTGATTTCTCTATCGGGGTCTTAGTTATCGCCGATCTATCCGCGATGCATCCTCGCTTCAAGCTCGATGTTTTGCCCCCTGAGACGGTCCCACCCCATACCGTTGCCCCTCAGCATACGCATAATCGTTCGGAGTTCCGCGCGGGTCTCCTGGCTCGGCGCAACAGTGAGGGGTGCTCCACGTCCGTCTGCTGCTCCCTCTCCTGTTCCTCCCTGCAGCCCCCTCCTGCCGGAGAAGTGTGGCGATCCCCCTGGAGCGAACAAATCAAGGCGTCAGAGCTTTGTCGAGCCCTTCCTCTTCTTGCTGCGGCGACGCCCCTGTGGTCCTTCTCGGTCCCGCCTGTCTCTCTATGCCTCTGAGGGGAGAGGGGGAGAGACCGCGAGAGAGAGAGAGAGAGAGACAGAGAACCAACAAACCAAACAAATACGCCACAGTAGTCTTACGTGAAGGCGACCCCAAGAGTCGCCCATGCAGTCTCAAGACCCGCCCCTGTGGAGTTGGCGTCGCTGCGCGGATGCATCGGCGATGCGGCACGATGTGGAGCCCGATTTTTGTCCACCTCCACGTCGCCCATGCCTCGGGGATCTGGCGCGACCCTTCGACCCCATCTTCGGACCTCTTCTGGGAGGCCTCTACAGATGTGGCCCTCAGAAAGGGAGGAGTTGACATCTTCGGCGGAAAGCGGTGGAAGGTGGCAGAAGCAGAATGAGGCCGGCTTCCGCTGAAGACCGGCGGAAAGCCGGCGGAAGTAAAACATGCACCCCAAAGAGACGCTGTCATTTTTGGATGCAGAGTTTCCGGGGCCTGCCATACGTCTCGATTGACGCGGTCCCCCGACCTCTCGAACGCCTCCCCAGGACCGGTTTTTCATTCCGAGTCGTTTTGCTGACGGTCCCGAGGCCCAGGAAGGGTCCCGCGAAGCTGAAAATTATATACATATATATATATATATATATATGTGTATATAAAAAGTCCTGTTGCAGGGGTTCGGTGGACAAGCACACGTTAGCGCTAGCACACGCTCTGAGGATCATCGAACAGACTCCAGCCTCGGACCGGGAGGGCCGAACGCGCCCCCCCAGGAGAGCGCGGTGCGCTCCCGCGCCGTGGCGGACCTCAGCGCCGCCATCGAGCGTGCGGAAGCCGCCGGCCTCGAGGCTCCGCGCCGGCCGGGCCCAGCCGCGGCACGGGCCGGGCCCCCTCTGCTCGCGCCTCAGGGGGGGTCGGCTGATCGGCGGCTGCAGCCCACCCGCCGTGTGAGTCAAGCAGTGGCGAGGCGTCCTGGTTCAAAAGTGCTCTAAGAGCCTGCTGCGGTTTGCACGGAATCTTCTCAGCACGTTTGTGGCGGCTGAAGCCGCCTTGTTTGAATCTGCGAAGATTTCGTTGTATGCCGATCGGGATGCCTGGATGGTCGGCACCTGCTCCAATTAACACGCTTCGCGTATCCCCACCAGCTTTGTACGCCATTCGCTGCGCCGAGGTTTGCTGGATCCCTACTGTTCAGAGAGTGTAACCCAAGCGGCGTACTGCTTGGCCATGGCCTCAGACACCTTGGGGTTATTTGCATCGCGCCATTTTGGCAGCGTAGTTACAGACTCCCTGGGTGCAGGTCCCTGGGCGTCAGGCACCCTGGGTTGCAGCACCCTTGCACCCGCCGCCCCGGCGCCGGCCGCGGCCCGCGCGCGCGTCCGGCCAATTAGTTTCGGCCGCAGCCCGACCGTTACTCGCCGCCGCTGGCGCTTCCGCCCGCGGCTGTAAAAAAAAATCCCCACCAGCTGGTGGTCTTCGAGTTCGTCGGCTTTTTGCTCTTCGCCATTTTGGCGCGGCACGTCGACCTGGAGCCCTTCCTGGGCCTCCTCGCTTTCTGAGCCGCAGCGTAGTTCGCTCCTGTGCGCTTGGTGCGCACTTTAGGTCGTTGCATTGCTGCTTCGTTCTGACGGCGCGCGGCTGTCCCCACCAGCTTTCGCCCTCTGTTCCTGGCGTCTGTTGGTGTCCGTGCTAGCTCCTTTGAGCCTGGTGAGGTAACCTTGGCGTCCCAGTGACTTGCACGTCGACCAGCTCCAGCTAGCATGCTTGCATGTTCTTGGCCTCTGGTCCCCAGACGCTGCCACTGCCTGGCCGTGTTTGCAGCTGCCGCTTTGCAATGGTGGGATGCACGTCCACGTGGATTGCTCATGAGTGGTTTAGCCTTTTTGTTCAACCGCTCGAGGTTGCCGCTGTTGGCATGCGACACAAGTACGCTGGGCTGCTTGCTCAGCCCCGCGCTATGCCGTGCTCTGCTCGGGTGGCCCGTTTGCATCTGGCGTTTTGCGCGACAAGGTACAAATTGTTTGCCTTCCCGGTGGTCTCGCCCCTGGGACGGTTGCATTTCAGCCGCCTAGCACACCTGACACCTCTTGCAGCTCTGCTTTCAGTCCCCGGCGTCGCTCGGCGCCCCTCGGCGGCAGCTCCAGCGGCCGTTGGTTCGCGCGCGTAGGTAACTAGGTTTGGCTCGTAGCCCGGGCTGACTTCGGACGCCGCCTGCGTTTCCGCTTGCGGCCGCGACGAATAAGTACCCCCACCAGCCCATTCAGAAACCGTGCCATCGAGAGTTGACGGGAAAAGGACGAAGAGACACATGTTGGGAACACAGCGAGCAACCAGGGCGAAGCGAGAGACCATTGGGAGCAAGGGGGTGGCCTTGGAATGCCTCTTCGGGCTATCCCTGGGGGCCGCGTGGGGGCGAGGGGAAGACGATGATGAGGAGGAGGAGGAGGAAAAGAAGAGAAAAGAAGGAGGAGGAAGACGACGAGGAGGACGACGAAGACGAGGAGGACGAGGACTAGGATGAGAGGGCGACGCGGACGAGGACTCATGGAAGCATCTAGAGGTATTCTTGCGGCTGCTGCTGCTAGTGCTCTCTGGGAGTTTTGGGGGCCCTCTTGGAACCCCCTTGGTAACCCAGGAAGGCTTCTCGGGATCATCTTGGAGGCCATCGATTACAGGATGAGGGGGTCCCCAACTCAGCTCCCTTCTCAGGAGCTGGCAAACCGCTTCTTGGGGCTCTCTTGGAGCGCTCTTAGGCGCTCTTGGAGCGGTCTTGGGGCCGTTTGGAGCATCTTGGGGGCCATCTTGAGCCAGCTTTGGCTATCTGAGCCATTTTGGAAGTCATCTTGGGCTCTCTGAGGCCACTCGGGGGCCTCTTGGGGGCCTCTCGGGTGCCCCTTGGGGCCCTCTTGGGACCCTCTTGGGGCCCTCTTGGGGCTCTCTTGGGGCTCTCTTGGGAGCCCTGGAGCGCCTCTTGCGGCCATCTTCGAGGCGATCGATCAAAGGAGGGAGGGTCCCGATCGCCCCCCCCCTCGGGGGCCACGCTCCTCGTGAGGGGTGTCAGAAATTGGCCCTCCCAGGGGCCGACAAAGGGCCCTCCAACCATCCGCGACCGCCGCCCAAAAAGTCCAGGGGTTGGGATGCCTGGGCGGTCGATCCCTGCTCCAATTAACACCAGACATTCGGAGGTGTGTCGTAATTTTCGGCCTCTGGCGGCTCCCTCGCTGGGGCCCTGGGGCCGTCAGAAAACGACTCCGGGTGAGAAGCAGCCGGCCCCAGGGGAAAGATCGACATTTTCGGGGGTCGTCGTCGACATGAGCAAATCTCAGGAGAGAGAGAGAGAGAGAGCCAGACGCACAGACACAAAGAGCCGCCGATCCCCAGGAAAGGTTGGGAATAGATGGGAAGCGGAGTGGAAGACGAAAGTCCAGAAACTGTGCAAATACATATAGGGAATCTGGGGACCTGTGCCTGTTCATTTGTGTGTCCCTGGGCCCCTTCAGAATCATGGCGCGTCGGGGGTCTGTGGCAGGGGCGGGTGTAGCCCGCGGGGGGGAGCACTGCGCTCTGCGGCCCAAGCGCCGGGCGTTCCATGCGGAGCGCCGCCAGGGGACCAGGATCGGCCAGGTGGAGCGATCTATGCCGATCGAGAGGAGGCCGATCGTCCGAGGTTGAACGAACTATGCGGCGTCAGAGGTCAACGCCGGGGTCGTCGCGGCACGAACTCGCCATAGCCACGCGCGCCGATCATCCCATGTATTCGGCGAAGCTGCACGGTCTCATGCGGGTAATTTTGCCCCCGCCTCTGGCGTATTCGGCCCTTTGGCACCCACCCAAGAGGCTGATCGGCCGATGCAGGGGGCGGGGGGTCCCAGACCCCCTCGTGCCTGGGAAAAAAAAACGACGGACGCACTCGCTGGGCTGCGGAAGCGTCAGAAAACAAGTGGCGAACTATCAACTATCCCGGCGAAGGACCCAGATGCGAGGGAAGGTACCGCAAGGCAGGTGGGATGAAGATGGGGCAGCTCCTTGCCACGAAACGTGTGAGGGGTGTGGCGAAGTGAGGCGGGGCTGCCATGCGGGCGCTGCCACTGGGCTTTGGGTGAAGCTCCCTATTGGGGCACGAAGCGTGTGAGCGGTGTGCCGAATTGGAGCGGGGCTACCATGCGGGCTCTACCACTGAGGCTTAGGGTAGAGCTCCACATAGGGCCACGAACGTGTGAGGGGTGTGCCGAAATGAGGGGTGGGCGCCATGCGGGCGCTCCCACTTGGGCCTTAGGTTGTGCTCTCCATGCGGCCACGATCTGTGTGTGTGCGTGTTGTATGTTGTGTCTTGTGTGTTGTGTGTTGTGTGTGTGTGTGTTTGTGTGTGTTGCGTGCTTGTGTGTTTGTGTGTGTTTGTTTGTGTGTGTTGTGTGTGTGTGTGTGTGTGTGTTTGTGTGTGTGTGCGTGCTTGCGTGCGTGTGTGTGTGTGTGTATGTGTGTGTGTGTCAGACAAACCCCTCCAGGGCCCCACCCGCCCGATCGCAACGGACAGCCCGGACACCGAGAGCGGCGACTACGTGGTCATCAGGAACGACACCCTCCCCCGAGCCAGGTGGTTCAGATCAGCGCAGGACGGACGCACCCTGATCGTCCAAATCGGCAACGAGTGGCTGGAAGTCTGGGGTGCCGGGACCAAGACGCTACGCGCCGACGTCCTACGCGGCAATGCGGCGCGCCGTGCAGCCGCCTTCCTGGATGGGGCCCCCGACTAGGCACAAACACCGCAGGAACCAGCGGCCCCTGCCAGCTCCTGGCTCGGCGCTGACCCTGGAAACGCCACAGCGGCGTCTGCAGAACGGGCTCAGCCCAAATCCAGGCCCCAGCCCCGCCCGCCACGTACGGTCGCACGGGACCCCATGCACGAGCCGCCGCCGTACGGGCACACCAAGGAGGAGATCCCCGACTACACCAACGACGACCAGGAGGAGGAACAGGCTCAGAGGCTGGCGGAGGCCGCAGGCACGGTCCATGCGGTCTCACCCTCCCCAGATCCTGGAACACGCAGGCAGGGCCACGTTGGGGCGACCCCACGGGAGATGCGACGCAACAGTCCTGGGCGCGACATCGACAGGACACACCAGGCCTGCCAGGCCCACGTATCCATGGGACAGACCGAGCTTGCGATGGCCGCCGCCGACGACCGTGCCCTGCACACGCGGTCAGGACCGCGGCCACAGGAGCCGGGCGCACCGCATCCAACCCCCACCCTTCGCGCGAATACGGTCGCGCGCGCGGCAGAGTGAGTGACCCGGCTCCCTGGGAACGATACGACAGCACGGCGCGGCGCTCGTCCAGAGACACCAGCGACCGGGACCGAGCCAGAGAGCGCGACCGCGACCAGGACCGCGATCGTGACAGGGGCGGAGGGTGGGCCCTTTGGCAGCGACAAGACGATCGCCGCAACCCTGAACACAAGGACGATCGCCGCTGCCCTGATCACAACCGCGCCTGGGAAGACCGCCGTGTCAGCGGGCCGCGACGCCCAGACGATACGGCGGCCACCCACCTGACGAGGCTGAAGGCCGAGGGAGGTTATTACTTCACCGCAGCCTGGCACTCGTGGTGCAGGCATATGGATCAGGAACGGGGCAAGGGCAAGACCAAGGACCAACTCAAGTTCGACCCGACCTACTGGCAGCCCGACATGATCGATCGATTCCTAGAGGGAATGGCCAACAACCGCTACGACGTGGGTAAGTGGTCCCGGAACGCGGGCGTCTACGTGGACTGGGAACGCGAGAACACCCTGCACCAGGAATTCCAGCGGAAGCAGGAGGTAGCCAAAGGTGAAGGGCGCGGAGAGGGCCAAGCACGCAGCTCTGGGTACACCGACAACTAGACTGGGAAGCGCCCCAGGCGCTGACCTGCTCTGGACCTCCCCAGTGACGGCGCACAGGGTGCCGCACTATCGTACCTCCTGTTCCTTGCAGGCCTCGTGGCGCTGTACTTCCGGGTACAACCAGCACGTCGCCGACCACTGCGCCCTACCCTGGTTTCCCCTCTCCCTTCCTGCAGACCACCCTGGGACCGTTAGTCCCTCCTGATCCCGCACCTGTTGCAATATCGGCTGGGACTGCAAGTGCCCTGCAGCAGGATTCCGGCGGCACCCGGGCACGGCCATCCACAGCGGGCGCGGGGGACGGCCTGCACGCGCCCCGAAAGGGCACTGACACGGGGTGCAGGGCTACGCGCTAACGCACAGCAGCGCCGCACGGTCCTCTTGGCCACGGGCACCTTGCCCGAACCGCCCCACCTGGCTCTGGCACAACGACATTATCCTCGAGTACGGCCTGGTCAGCGCCCTGCCCTCATCCTCCCTCCCTCTTTCTCTACCTGAATATGGGGCCGTCAGTCCCCTCTGATTCCGCGGGGTCTCCCTGCCACCTGCACCGCCCGGGCCGCCTCCCTGGTCCTGGCATTACGGCGTCCTCGTCGAGTTCGGCCTGGTCAACGTCTTCGGCGACTTGCCCTCCTCCTCCCTCCTCCTTCCTTTACCTGATTATGGGACCGGTTGTCCCCCCTGATTCCGCAGGGTCCCCCTGCTCAGCACGGGCCATGCTCAGCTGCTGGTGCGGGGCTGCTCTGGCGACCGCTGGCCCGCTGAGCCGGCCTTTCTCCCCCCTGCCCGCTTCCCCCCCCCCGCTCGCTGCCCCCCCTCCCATGGCGGCAGTGCCCTGCACAGCGCGGCTTCGGCCCGGTGCCTGGCGCTTGCACCTTGCCGCCTCGGCGGCCCCGCGGGCCTTGGTGCTGCGCGGCTTCGGCCCGGCCCTTGGCACCGCGGAACGGCAGCGCAACGTGTGCGGCTCCAGCCAATTCCCACGCGCTTGCCATTGCGGGGCAGGCGCCCTCCCCGCAGCACGCCGGCACCCTGTCGGTCCTGGGCGGCACGTTACCGGCTTCGCCTGGCAGCCGCGCTTCAGACTGCGGTTATTTTTCCTTGTGCGTGGCACCTTGGACTACCACGGCCCGGGCCCCTCCTGCATCCTGTTCGGTGGCACAACGTTGCACTCCGGCCCAGCGGTGCTCCTCATCTTCTCGGGCGTCGCCCTGGATGTGTGGCGCGTCCTCTTCCGCAGTTTATGGGACTGGTGTACATGACGCGCCTGTGACCGCGCCACCGTCAGCTTTTTGCCTCCCTGTACTTCGCCTCCGGGTTCCTGTTCAAGGCGTTCCTTTGCGTGCACTTCGCTTTCGGCACCGCCTGTTCCCAGTGCTCTGCCCTCTCTTGGCCTTGACGTGATGCCCTTCATTTTTTTGGTTCCTTCCTCTGTCAATTAAAGCTGTGCGCGGCCCGCTTAGCTTCGACCGGGAGGGGCTCGCTCTCGACCCGCGGATCAAAAGTGTGCGTGTGTGTGTGTGTGTGCGTGTGTGAATGTGTGTGTGTGTGTGAATGTGTGTATGTGTGTGTGTGCGTGCGTGCGCGCGTGCGTGCGCGCGTGCGTGCGTGCCGGGCAAACATGAGGCGGGGCCGCTATGCGGGCGCTGCCGCTGCGTCCTTCGGTGGAGCCCCTTATTGAACACGAAGTGTGAGCGGTGTGCCGACATGAATCGGGGCTGCCATGCGGGCGCTACCACTGAAGCCTCGGGTAGAGCCCCTATGTGGTCACGAAGCGTGTGAGGCGTGTGTGCCGAAATGGGGCGGGGCCGCCATGTGGGCGCTGCCACTTGGGCATGAGGTGGAGCTCCGTATTCGGCCACGGAGCGTGAGGGGTGTGTGCACACGTGAGCCGGAAACCACATGCGAAGGGTGTTGCCGCTTGCGATGGTAATGCCGATGATGCGGATGATGATGACGATGATGGCGATGATGATGGTGATGATGATGGTGATGATGATGACCATGACGATGCTGATGATGATGCACATTGTGGTGACGCTGGGGGCGATGAAGACGATGACGATGCTGCTGATGATGATGATGCCGATGATGATAATGATGGTGATGATGACTATGTTGATGATGATGGTGATGGTGTTGATGATGGTGATGGTGATGATGCTGGTGATTATTTGGTGATGTTGGTTGTGCTGTTGGTGACCCATATGATGATGCTTACGATGATGGGGTTGATGATGAGTACGGTGATGCGGAAGATGGTGACGATGATGATAATAAAGATGACGATGTTGATGATGATGACGGCGAAAATTGTGATGATGTAGATGATGTCGATTGTGATACTGGTGGTGACGCTGATGGTGATGATGACGATAATGATGATGATGACGCTGATGATTGTGATGATGATGGTGACGACGTTGATGGTTGATGGTGATTAACATGTTGTTGATGATGCTCTTGTTGATAATAAAGATGATAATAATGATGGTGATAATGACGATGATGATGCTGATGATGATGTTGCTAATGGTGCTGCTGATGATGATGGTGATGGTGATGATGGTGATGATGACGGCGATGACGCTGACGGTGATGCATCTATTATTTTTGACCAATCCTGATGAGCGCGATGATTATGATGACGGCGGCCATGGGCGATTATAATGAGGAGGACATGCGGAGGGTGGGAGATGGAAGGGAGGGAGAGAGGGCGGGAGGGGGCAGCGTGTTGAGTGAGGACGTGGGCGGGACGCTGGACCCATTGGGAACAAATTCCCCCAGGGGAAGTGGTCTGAACCTCCAGGGGTCCACGTTGCGAAACAAACACGACGTCGGGGGGCGGGGGAAGTCTCGGGTCAGAGGTTCCCTTCTACATCTGGGCGACGCCATAAAACAGCGTGACGGCCAGCTTTTCGCCGTGCAACGTCTCCAGGGCCCAGGGCCGTCAAAACATGTCTCAACGATGAAGCGCCGTACCAGGGGAAAGGGTCGAGGTCCCTGGCGACCGACTTCGGTTCAGAGGAGAGATACCAGCGGCCCTCCCAGACGTGCTTTGTCCTTTTGGGTTTCCTAGAGGCTTGTCGTCGCCACGGCTGGATCCGCGTCGAATAGCTGGTTGGATGGACCCCAGGAGGGGTCTGGGGACCGATTTTGAGCGGACTTCGGCTGGGCGAGAGGGCCGCTGTTGTCTCAACTGGCCCTCCACCGAGGGATGATATTTGAGGAACGAGGTTTGATGCAGTTCTTCCTCGATGCCCTGGCGTTGCAGTTTTGTTCACACCGGGCGTGCTCGCAGGCCCTGCCCTCGCAGATTCATCCAGCTCAAGAATCGCATAAAGATTGAGTCTAAGGCCTAGAGGGCCTATAGTTCCAGATGGTTCTAGTTACTTACGGCCCCAACGAAACCGTTCGCATGTTGCCCCCTGCCCATCTCGGTGCACCCCTCGCAGGTGACGTGCCGTCCAGAAGGCTCAGGGAAGCTCGCCCTACGGCTTCAGAGAGAGGGTTCGCATGCCGCCTCACGCTCACTGTAGCAGACCTTTCATGTGGACCATGTCCCGCAGGGGCTCCGCCGATGGCACCAGTGGGCAAGATCTCATGTCATCCCGCGCGGCCGACTTCGGCACACCTTCACGCGGATAGTTCTCCATAGGGAGCTCCACCTGCGGCCTCAGAGGGGGCGTTCGCGTCGGGGCTCCGCCTAGTTCGGCACCCACCTCACGCGGATCTTGCCGCGCTGGGAGTGCAAGGCGTCTCTGCGCGTTGACTCTGCACTCCCTCGCTCACTCTGCATTTCAAGAGAGGCGCACGCTGTGTGCTACGGGCAGCTGCAAAGGGCTGCGCCTGGGCTCGGATAATGCTTCATCAGAGTTGGCTTCAGAGCCCCGTTCTTGTGGTAGCTTCTGGCTTGATTCTTGCTTGATTCTCACGACAGCCATCGCCCCAGGCCGGGGAGATTGAGCACGCAGAGTCCATCCTGATGGCGGAGATGAAGAAGCAGGCCTGTCAAGCGGTCTTGCCTCTGGCTCGAAGCGTCAGAGTCTGCACGGTGCTCTGCGAGTCGGAGTGGGGGGGAGGAGGAAGAGGAGAAGGAGAGGAGGAACTGGGCAGAAGAATGGGGAGGCGCCACATGAGATTCAGACGCATGTTGTTGCGGATCGGCTCGGGCCAGCGTTGGACAGCCTGGCCCTCAGCATTCGTTCCGTGCTGCTCGCTATCTCTGGCCTCAGGGCTGTGTGAAGTACCCACCACCTAACTATCACACGAACAGCATCTAGCGGCCCCGGGTTTGTGGTAGGCTCCGAGGCTTCTGCAGACCTCCAGGCGTCGCGACCCCAGAACTTCAGGCATCCCCGGAACATCTGAGACGGGACGTGCCCACCGCCCCAGGCGTCGCGAATGTTTCGGCGCCCAGGGGCTGCCTCGTAGGCACCAGAGGTGAGACCAGAAAGGTTGTGCCGAAGCTCTTGCAGGCTCAGTCCCGGAGACTGGATCTCGGCGGTGGACACGGCCTCCCAGCCTGCCTGGCCAGGGGCCGATGTGCACCGCGCCATGTGGCGCCCTCAAGGCATGGTATCGCCTTCGAGGGATCGAAGTGGTTGAGGCTTCTCCTCCTCGGCGGAAGGCGTTGGAAGTAAAACGAGGGCGGCTCCGATGGCGGAAGCGGCGGAAGGAAAAAGTCGCATCCCCAAGAGATGACATTTTTTAGGTTTCAGGATGCTCAGGTTTCAGTCGTCGAGGGCGCTTTGTTCTGTTCGTCGCAGTCGTGATGCGCTGCGATGTTCTGCTTCACAGCCGAGTCCCTCTGTGCACGTAATCACTCTGCAACGCCATCCCTGCAATTTCACGAAAAGCTGCCAAGCGCGCGCTCTTCTGTCCACGCGTCCTTCCGGATGCTCGGCTTCTCGCTCGCTCGCCATATTGGCCGAGCCCTGCCTTGTCTGGGCCTGGCGCCTGTGGGCGCGCGCCTCCTCCATGTGCGACCGCGCCGCGCGCGTGCGAGAGCAGCCCGCGGAAGGCCCGCTGCCGCCCCGCGCCGCTTCCCCGTCCCGGGTCGCGTGCTCGCTGCCGTGCCCTGAAGGGGGATCTGGCGCGCGGGCCCTCCTCGGGAAGCAGTTTGTGCCGGAAGCTTTGGATTGCGCGCAGGCAGCCCCCCCAGTAGTCTCCGCTGGCCTCAAGAGGTCCCCCCCTGGATAGCCAGGATGGTCTCAACACCCTGGCGCCAGTTCCGGCGGAGCCTCTGTGGCGCTCCGCGCTACAGGGTTGGGGTTGGAACTGCCCCGGACTACTCGGGGGGCCTGTTGAGGCCAGCTGGGACTACCTGGGGGCTGTCTTTGCGCAGCCTGAAGCCTTACCTGGTGCGGGGCAGCACATGGGGGGAAATATAGACTTGCAGGAAAGTGCCACCGCGCTCCCCCCCCCGCTTGCTTTCCCGGCGTGAAGGAAATCCCGAGGAGGTCAGGGGCAACGTTAGTGGGGGATAGGCTCAGAGGGCAACGCATCGAACCCCCAATCGCCCGTTGATTGACGGCGGGTGCGTGATAGCCCAGCCCGCCCAGGAACGTGCGGTCTCGCTATCGGGGGTATATCGCTGGTCTAGCTGGTGATGCTTCGCCGATTTCAGCTCGATGTTTCCTAACTGAGCCTGGTCCTCCCCTCGCTCACTTTTAGGAGGTCGTCCGTGCTGTTCTGCTGCACCCTCGCTGGGGTTTTGGGCACCTCCGCTTGGGCGTACCTGGCTGCAGACCTCCAAATCGTAAGCCCCAGCCAGTTGTTCTGTGATCTGACCTGCAGGGGTAGAGCTCGCACGTGGTTGCAGATCCCCCCGTTAACAGACCTCCGAGGAGGCCAGTCTGGCCCAGTTCGGAACGATCCCGTGGAATTCCGTTCAAACCGTTTGATCGGGCTGAATTCCAGGCTCAATCTTGGGTTCTATTTGGTTTCGTCTGGCTTATGGCCCTCACTCGTTTTTACGCAGACTTGCCTGGAGGGGCCTCCTAACTCATTAAGAAGAGTCGAGCCCCAAACCTCAGCGAAATAAAAAGGCGTAACATCAAACAGGCCCCACTGTTGGCAGCAGGGGTATAGAACATGGGTGGCCCTGATGCTACATCTGCAAAAGACCCCCCCCCCTTCCTTAGTGTGATGGGCCTCCTGACTTAGGTCCCCTCTAAAAGGGTTAGGGTTATGAAGTTCCAACCTGCTTTAGCCTTGACCGCCAGAAAGAATTCCGAGCACCAAGAAAGTACCGAGAATGGAGGATTTTGAAGTGCCAGGCCCTGGGAGGCGATACTCGGTCGACACTTCGCCGGCGTGTCGGGCAGACATTGCTCCGATACTGCTCTCGACAGCTCGAAGATACTCCTGGGATGTACTCCTTGAGTACAATGGGGAGGAGGAGCAGGAGGAGGAGGAGGAGGAGGGGGATGCTGACGAGAACCCGCATGACGTAGATGCCTAGGAGGAGGAGGAGGAGGAGGAGGAGGAGGAGGAGGAGGACGACGACGACGGGTGACAACATAGGGTTAGGGGTCCTCTCGTTGCAAGTCCTAGCGCGAACGAACGCCCGAGCAGGTTGTCCGCGCTGTTCGGCTGCCCCCCCTGTTCGGCCGCGGCGCACCGCCCCCCGGCTGAGGCCGCGCGGTTCTGCCTGGAGCAGGCGCGGTCGGGCCGCCCGCGGTCCCTGTCCATGGGGGTGCCTCGTCTCGTCCCGCCTCCCTGGGAGGGCGATGGGGACATTATTTTTCTCTCTCTCTTTATTTCTTTCTTTCTCTCTCTCTCTCTCTCTCTCTCTCCCTATCCTTCTCTCTCTCTCTCTCTCTCGCTCTCTCTATGTGTCGATACATGTGTATTTCTTTACATCAATGAATATGCCTCTCCCTACATGTTTCACAAGCCTGGTTTCAGGAGGGCCATCAAGAGGCAAACAGCTCCCCATTCCCTTTGGGAAAACGTGCGTGTTCAGCATAACGATGGCCCAAGAGGCCTCCGAGATCGCCCCAGGACGGCCCAATAGTAGGCCCCCAAGAGGGCTTCAGGACAGCCCACGAGGGCTGTAAAATTGCCCCGGGATAACCAAAAAGAAGCTCGCGAGGCCCCCGACGGCTCCCAACACAGACTCACGAGGGCAATGGGAGGTCCCCAGGAGGGCCCAAGATGGCCCCAAGAAGGCCCGTAGAGGGCCCAAATTCCGCAAGAAGGCCCCAGCATTGCCCAAGAGGAACGCAAGACGGCCCAAATGGGCTTCAAACGGATCCCCTAGACCAGCCCAGAGAGGCACTCAGGAGGCCTCCAGGGGTCCCCAAAGTCCTTGAGAGGCATCCGTGAGGCCCCCAAGACAACTCCAACGATGAGCCTCAGCAAAAAGGCCTGCGGCAGACGGGGAATGGATTGCAACGCCAGGCGAGAGTGAGGATGAATGAGAGGAACGATGTGGAACGGTAAGGCAATCCTTTCCATTGCCTTGCATTGTGTGACCGGGCAACTTGGGCCACGAGCGAGCCCGTGTGGCCATGCGAAGGACCCAGAATGTCATTATTTTGCATGTTCGTGCGCCTTCAAGAGTGCGTCTTCTTACAACATGCATTTCACTAACCCAGATCCTGGGTTTGCAACAAACTTCCTCAGAAATCCGTGGCGAACTCGGATTTCGGAGTATTTCCAAAGCCAAGGCGGCATTGCTTGACATTGCATTGCTTCGTATTCTGCGGCATTGCTTGGCAGAGCGTTGCTTAGTTTGACCTTCATTCGCATGGCTTACCATTGCCTCGCATTGCGCACCTGGACAGCCTGGGACACGAGCGGGCCAGTGCGTGGGCCACACGAGGGTTCTCCACGTCATTCATGGGAACATGTTCTTCAATTGTGTGCGTTACCATGTTTCTGTAGCCGTTGGCATAGATTCTTTAAGCGTCCGCATGCGCCACATCCTTAATGTGTGTATTCGCTTGCTCTGAGTGTGGCGAAATCATGCCTTTTAGAAGCCTCCAGGTGGCGTTCTCGTCGCCACGTCATCGGGTCCGCCTCGAAATTCGTCCAAGCGCACCCCAGGAGACATTCGGGTGGCGCACGAACATGTAAATCGAGGGCGAGAACGAAGAAAGAACGGGTAAGGGGACTTGAAAGGAAACGGCCAAATCTCAAAGGCCAAAAGGAACGACGTCCAGTGTCCATATATATATATATATATATATATAACACATGCGAATATTGAGGGACCAAAGTGCGTGGCGCGAAACACCAACGCAGTCTTGTATCTCTCTATATGTATTGATTGGTTGATCGTTGCTTCCTTCTCTCTCTCTCTCTCTTTCCATCGGTGTCTCACTCTCTCTCTCTCTCTCCCTCTCTCCCTCGGCGTGTGTGTGTGTGTGTGTTAGGGCTACCCGCGTCCCGAGCAGCTCTTGACCAGAAGGGGCCCGCTCCCGACCCGCCGACCAAAAGTGTGTGTGTGTGTGTGTGTGAGTCTCTCTCTCTCTCGCTCTCTCTTTACGTTTCCCTTTCGCTCTCACCAACGCACAAGCACATTTGTTTTCCCCACATGTTTCGTTGGGCTATGGTGTTCTTCCCTTGCGCGTCGCACCCGCACCTCCTCACCTCCCTCCTTTATCCTTCCCGCACGCGCATCAGAGAGTCGCGTCAACATACATCCACCCACATACACCCTTCCTCCCTTTCCTTCCTCCTCCCGGCCACATACAGCCGCGCGCACATCAGACACATGCACAAGACACACAGACGCAGACCGAACCACCCACATGACACGCACACCGCACGACACATACGCGTAGGATTCGCAGGGCGTGGCACACGCGCCAGTTTCTCGGCGCCGGAGGGGGTGTGCAGGGGGTGGGGGCGCCATGGGTTGTAGACTCGCAGGACGTGGCAGGCGTGGCATTTCATTGACGCCACAGCAGGTGTGTCGGGGGTGTGGGCGCTGTGCGTTGCAGGCTCGCAGGGCGTGGCAGGCGTGGCGTTTCCTCGACGCCGCAGGGGGTGTCCTGGGCGCGGGGGCGCTATGCGTTG